TTTTATTTTATGCTGTCATGAGACTAGGTGGCTGAACGGGAAATGAAACGCGTTACACTTGTTTCAAATGTGTAAACGAAAAAGAGTATTTTCACTTTTTCATTTCCTTGCGGTGTTTACATCGCCATCACGGTTTCAGAAGTACACAGTTTAAACGTCCTAGCTTCCGAATCCGGATACCCTTTCGATACTAAACATATATGACCATGAACGAGACTGACAGACAGAAACCAACAAGCAAATCGATCTCACATCCTACAAATCCCCACCACCTGACTCACTTCGGGGCCGGTCTCGTAATTCCGGATCGCGTTCCTACTGGCGATTCAGGCCACCAGTTAGAATATCGGAATTTCTAAAGACAGGGTTAAGAAAGAACACCAATAACTTGGGCACTTGTTATTTTGTTTGGAACTTTCTTATTTACTTACTTACTTTCTTACTTTCTTACTTACTTACTTATATTATTATTATATTATTATTATATTACATTATATACATATATTATTATTATGCTGCGTTCCGTGAACTATGAACTTGAGGTACCATTGTAGTCGAATAGACTAATGAATTGCCTTGGCGCCGGCATGATTATTTTAAACGGTTGAACTTCTGGCATGTTGTAGTTACAGAGTGGATTATGCATCCCCTCATGGAAAGTGGAGTTCTCTCAACATTATGTGGCAGCAGCTGGATATATGCATTTAGCGGCCAACATTAAAAGCTGTGTCCTCATGTCTTCACATCGTCGCCCGGCATTCAGTAAATCAAATAATTCGGGCCTAATCATCCTCTCTACGTCTCTATTTGCTCATTTCTAATAACTGCATGTGTTTTGTGCTCAATCGTTTTTCTTTGAAGTTGCCAATGCATTACCGCTCATTCACCCGTGCATTGCTTACTCGCGTAATGTCTGTGTGCCATCATCTACCGTGAATATCGCAGTAAGTCAGACCGGTTTCGCTCATGCTCATCAGTACAATCAGCTGAGTACGAGGGCATATGTGCTTGTTTAACACCACAACAAGCTTCTTGTTAGGGTGATCAGAGGCCGGGATAGTCCATTTATGTTACCTTCCCAGAACGGAGTACGTCCAAACATTCAATTCGGTCTTCCTTTTGGTTGTCGATCAGGTGGTTGTTGATCTGTTCGCCGAGCTTGACAAATGGCGCGCAAATAATTTCGAGAGGAAATTGTCAGTGTATGGTTGGGTCTTTCTCTGATAAGTCGTGGTTTGAGTTCACTTAACATGAACCCCATGACTGAAGAATGGTTAGGCTGAACACTATCTGTAGATTATTTTGCGGAGAAATGAATACGTAGTTCACTACTATAGTGAGTAAATTAGTGCCCACAAATTGGGAAGAAAACAAGTTGATTACCGGTGTTTTTTCTTCTTTTTTTCAGAATCCCGCCAAACCTAGGATCGGTAGTTGTACGTGACTTCGTAAAATTAAAGAAAGTTTTTGGCACAACTTTTTGAAACTTGGGTATTTTCACTAGGGACCAAGACGCATAGCACATGTAGCCTAGTCTTTTTAATTGCTAGGAGATCTAAATCTAATGTTTTCATAAAGGAAACTACTCACAAGGTTGTTGAAAACTCTTCGACAGCCCACGACCGTTTTCGCCCTACTTGGGGCTCATCAGGTAAGCGCATTTCCTGAGTTTCCGTCAACCTTATGTTCTACTTGAACCCAAATTGGACTGTTTTCGAGAAATACACTCATTTGCAAATCAATTTGGTTTTCACGAGAGACTCAACTGAATCTCTCGTTTACGATGTTCCATAACTTCATGTGCTGCGCACAGGCCGCCTCATGTTTGAGTTGGCACGATATTCGAGATATCGCAGTATATTTACATAAAGCAAACTACTCGACAGCCCACGACCGGTTTCGCCCTTCTTGGGGCTTATCAGGTAGGCGCACTCCCCCGTTGTAGAATATCATAAACGGGAGATTCAGTTTGGTCTCTCGTGACAACCAAATTGATTTCCAAATGAGTATATTCCTCGTAAATCCCATGTTATTCGTAGACGCATATACACAACAGCTTATCGAATGTTTTGCGAAATGGGCTACGAAGTCCACCAACTAGTCTTCCTTTTCACCTCTTCCATGCAGTCAAGGGTGGTGAATTTTGAAAAGCACATCAATTAAGGCATTCTTCCATCGAATCAAACATCAGCTGTGATTTTTTCTGCACATACCCTTTAAAACATAACTTTAAGTAGTGATAGAGGAGAGACGCTATCATGGTCAATTCATCGATTCACTCAATAAGTGACAGTGAATGACAGTTATACTCTAGATACAATATGCAGTGCTGTCAACGATGTTGATGATGATGAGAAGTTTTATCCCTAGGTGCTAAAAAACATTTTTTCTGAGTACTCTGCTGGATAACGCGTAATTCGTCATTGTTGATGGCTAATGAAGACAAAATCCGCGCTTACGGAGAGACCGTAGTAAGCAACAAAAGCAATACAACACATTTCGCCTGTTTGTGTGCCGTTCGGAGAAAGCAAGAATGTACTGAAAGAATTATCGTCACATACAACCAGACAGCGAATATCTCAAGTGTAAAAATCTATCTCATTCCAAAAATAGGATTCTAACGTACCCGAGAAGTGTTCCGAGCTTCGGTGTTTTTGAAGCATATTTCTATCACTGTAACTCCGCATGTAATACAGGGACAAGTGGATAAAAGTCCCGTTGTGTAGAATCGCTAGTGATATCACACGATACGAATGAGTAGACTTCTGCGAGTATTAAACTTCATTTGGTCATAATAGATGGTCACTTTCGATTCTTCCTCTCAGTGTGGAGGGGACAGTGGAGAGGTTATCGTCGCAGAAGCCTATCAACCTTCAGCATTCACAATACATTGCACTTCTAAACACTGGTTTTCCCCGCGAGCACCCAAAATCTTTCCGCATTTTTGATTGGCTCTTGTTCCCTGAGCAAGGACACTGACATATCTTCCGTCAATCTCCCTCACATTATTGTGAAGGAGGTGTTGAACACTGATGTCATCCTGTCGGTGATGATAATGATGATGTAACAGCCCTACGCATTCATTGGGGTGCACACACTATTGTGCCTTGCCTACCACACTGAAAAAAATTCTAGAAGCTCAATCAACAGGTTAAGCCCGAAAAAGATTTATAAAATGAAGCTTAGTTGGTTCTTAGGTCTAGAGACTTCATGGAAGATGATCACACAAGCATCCAATGCTCTGTGGGACGATGAACAATAAGGAATGCATGAAAATACATGAGTCTCTAACGGAGTGTTGCAAGGTGCGCCTACGGATAACTTTGATATACCACATCTGTGGTGGGATCCCTTCTAGAAACTACGGCTATTGTTGGGATAACGTTACGAACAGACGCAGCCTGGCCAGTCAACTAGGGCAGAAGGACACGGGCATTTTAAATTAGGATGTAATTGGCCAAAGAAGAAAAGGGGAACGGGAAAACAACCAAGATGTTTGCATTTGATCTACGAGGATCTGGATGATACTGGACCCTTTGTGTTTTCAAGATCTGCACTTAAGGAGTGGAAGCGAATCCTGTGACAAAACTCAACTTCCACCACACTGTGAGTCATTGAGGCGGCCTCCATTGACACCGAAGTTGTCTGAGATATCTTTGATTCACACAATCTTTCACATCAGTTAGATCGAAAGAACGGCTAGAAATATTAGGGATCAACTTGTGGATCTGTTTCGTTCATCACTAATTGTCAAATACACTCTGGTTAGGTGCTTCGAACGAAAATGTCCGTAAAGAAACTAGTTCAAACGAAGCTACAGCTCGGGTGACACATCCGCCCGTTTCCTCACGTTCAGGTCACGTGTGCCCTGATTAAACTTGCCGACCTCACTATCAGACTGACGAGCGAATTATCTTATCTTAGACCAGGCGTGCAAATGATTGTGTCGATGGGACTGTCACGCGAATTCACGATTGGGATGCTACGTAAATTCTAGCAAAGAACAATGTCAAAGCACATTAAGATTAGTGCCGTTGTCATCAAAAAGTGCGTAAAGAAAAGAGCGAAATTTGCATACAAATTTGGTTTTTATGGGCGACCCAGATGAACCTCTCGTTAACGACAGTGAAGCGTCAGTGGCAACACTGATGGATGAATGATGATGATGATGATGATGATGATGATGATGATGATGGTGTTATGATGGCGAAACTAGTAGTAGGATCTCGTAAAAAATCAGCAACCTCATTAGTAATGTGTTGAGTCTACACAATGTGTTGCCATATTGGCTTAATATACCAACGGAAACATGAGTCGATGTGATGCACCATATTCAGTTGAGAAAGAAAATCATGAACGACTCATTTTGGTTTGTCGTGAAGACCAGATTGTTGTGCAGACACTAATTTCGTGCAACTTGAGCTCAAGTGGAACATAAAGTTGAGGGAAACTTGGGGACCGCGCCTACCTGGCGAGTCCCAAGAAGGGCGAAACCTGTAATGGGTTATCGAACAGCTTTCAGTAACCTTGTGAGCATTGTGTTGCATCTATACTGTGTGTATAGAAAACATGAGAATTCGAATCAACATAGGTGGCTTCCGTGAAGATTCGCACACCTTAGCGCAAATGAGACTGGGCAACATTTCCGCCACAACCTATAGTTTCTTATCGTTAATATAAAGTAAGCACCCGTACTTGTACTACGACAACGTTTAGGAGCATATACCGGGATCAAACCATAGTTGAAAGACTAATCATTGAGACTTTCAGGAATTTAACGTCAGCTCATCGACATTTGCTGGATTACTAACTGTCCTTGCTTTAACGTCAAATAGTTGTTTTTTAATTCACTCGAAATTGAGGGCTGCTTAAGTCGTGCTTAAATTCAATCAGTTTTACATGGAATAATGTAGCCGTCTACATTTTTAAACACAATGTCACTCTTTCGTGCTATTTCTCCCGCTAATCTACCACACATGCAATTTTACTTATTCTTACAGACAAAACATATTCTGATGGTGCAAGCCTGCACTCCACGTGAATTAACAATAAACGTATATCTTGGTAGTATTTTCATTGGTATTCTGCAAACACGTATATCTCGTCTGCGTGAAAGAAAAAGAAGTCTTGAACCAAATAATTAATGGGGCAATTATTGTAATGAAGGAATTTGAAATAACTTAAAGCTTGGCAAAATATAAACGACGAAATGTGTTGTAATAAGATGGGATATAGAAAAGTCAGAAAAATTACAAGTTCGGGGTCCCAAAAATCAATATTAAAAAGAACCGCAGTCCAGAAAACTTGACAATAAAGTCCAAAAAATAAAATCAAGCGACATGAAATTCCTTAAAAAACGATGTCGATGAGCTCATTAACCGAAGAAAACATATAAATAAGCCAATAAATGAAACGTCTCCAAACACCATGAGCACAAGGTAAAGACAACAGAAAGAGCCAGAAAATCAACGTGCAGAGATTAAGCAAGAAAAAAAGGAAAAAAAGGTGAAAAAAGATAGCAAATAAAACGAAATAAAACGTCAAAAGACCGAAAAAAAAGAAAACAAGTTAAAAGAAAATCCAAAGAAGTAAAGGGATTTCAGAAAAAGTACAAAAACCAGCATGTGAATTCACATAAGAGACTGGCCTACTGTCGGTCTGAT